TTGAGTAAGTATCCACATGTGATATAAAAATTTAAAAGCCCTATTGCATCTTCCTCCTAGGTTTCGGCCATCATGGAGTGAGTAGGAGTTATTGTGAAAAAAATTATATTATGTATTGTGAAGGTATAGTGTGTTGGAAATGAGTGAAAATGGATGAGATAGTAAGAATGCCTAAGTAAAAAGGACTTGGTGTCTAAACTCAAAATAGGAATTTAGTGGAAGCATTCCTAGGTGTTTGCAAGTTGTAATGAAGTAACGAAAATGTATTGTAAAAGAGAAGGATCTTTGGAAATTCCCCTTGTAGGATTCGACCTATAGGGTATTTAGGGATATATTTTGTACATTTTATTTTAAATAAAATGTGTTGTAATAAATTGTATGAAGGTGATGAGTTTTGAAGAAAAATAGCATGATTTATGTTGAAAATTCCTAAGGGAATGGTTGATTAAATTAAAGAACACCAACGGTTATAAAGAGGTCTAGACTTGTGTATTGGCATAGGATTGGCAAAAATGCAAAGAAAGGAAAATAAGCGATAAAATGTATGCTTATGAAATAATTATGGTATTGCATCATTTTATTGATGCATTGTAAATTATTCTCTAGGTGTGCCTAGGGATTGAGAAGGATCGGAAATCTCTTGAAGCGATAAAAGTAACTTGTTCCACAAGTAAGCGTATTGGTAAAGCTTCAAGAGGTAAGCTCTATGTTTAAGGAGTCTTTTCCTGCTTGAGTGCTCCACCATGGTTAGTGAACTATGGTTGGACTGTATGACTGTGATTTAGATGCTTTGTATAGATGCATTCATATAGAGTTATTTGATAACATGATATGTTTTGCTCTGATATGACTTCTGTAATATGATTTCTGTAACAATCTCTGGCCATTGATTGTATAGTACCCGGATGTCCGCTTTGGGGTCCTCCCTCGGGACTGATGGTGTACGCCTCTGATATGTCTGGTTCCGCTTTGGGGTCCTCCCTCGGGAACACGTGCGTTGATTTCCGCTTGGGGTCCTCCCTTGGGAATGACGGCGCACATCTCTGATATGATATGGATATATGCTCTGTTCTGTTATGATATCTGTTATATGTTGTATTTGTATACTCTGTATCTGACTTTCATGCAGGAGTGAGCCAGGGGTATGGAGAATTCTCTATAAACCTGGAGCTTATTGAGATTTGTAATCTCACCCCTCTTTGGGGACATATTTTCAGGTGCCCAGATTCCCCGTGAGTCCTCACTAGGCAGGGACACGACACGTGGCTGAGGCAGTTGGCAGATTGGATTTTGAGTGGCTGTAGGCTACTACCTTTTTGGAGTGTTTGATGTATTTTAGTATTTTCGCATTTGATGGATCATGATATTGATCCTTTATTGTGTATATGGCCTGTATATGTTTTGTACATGTCTGTCGCTTTGATGCATGTACATTTGGGTATTCAGGCACGTTATATGATGAGGTAGTATTCAGATATGTTTACGTGTTGGATTGCATGCTGTTAGATATAGTGGCACTGAGCCATGTTATGCATGCGCCCATGGATGGGCATTTGATTATATTTGTATAAACTGTTTATCAGGAAATGCTTCTGTGAGGGATTGGAAAATCCCCAGTTGTCCGATTTATAGAGGAAACTCTGCCCGATTTTCGTTTACGACGAATGAGAATTTAAAAAGAAAAAAAAAAAAAAGTTAGCTCGTATTTCCAGAAGTTAAGTCTTCCGCTGTTTTCTGTTTTATCATATGTATGTTAATTGAACCGGCTCGAGACGGGGATGTTACAGTCATCTTGGAAAGAAGCTAACAAATTGGTGTAGATTTGGCGTCCTTTTCAAGTTTATCCTTGTATTATCCTATGCTATGATGCACCGACACTGACACGGGACACGCATTACGACACGACACGCCGACACGTAAATTCTAAAAAATGTCATACTACACGTTGGAACATGTTTAGATATTAAATAATATTTTTAATATATATAATATAATTTATATTTAATACATATAACAGCCCATAATAAGTCATATAACCAATCAAATATTCAAATTTCATAACATGGATATAAACAAAAATAATTTTTCATACTTTGTCAATTTTTCATGTAAATTTCATAACATAAAAAAATTGATTTATAAATTATTTTTTTATTTTTAGTTAATAAAATAAAATTAAGAAGTAAAAAAAAAAACATGTCAGAACGTTGACCCGCGTGTCGGAAAAAATTGACTGCGTATCGAAAAAATGTGTCGGAACGTGTCGGAGTATTGATCACGTGTCCCAAAATATTGACCGCGTGTCAAACGCGTATCAGAATCGTGTCCATGTCGAACACATGTCCCAAACGCACGTTTTAAAACAAAGAGCGTGTCCGTGATTTAGAGATCCTATGTCTTGGTTAGTATCTACCCAACTAATAAGGAAGTTGGGGAAAGTTATGTGCTCTACATTACTACATTAGGGATGACTTCAGCATGTGCTCTGCATCAACTTTCCTTACCTTTTTGAAAAATGTTCCTCAACAAGAGAATTTCTGAAAGGGCATCCTCTAGATAGTTTTTTTTTTTCCTTCATGAAAAAGATTAGGAGCTTAGCACAAATAAATGAATGAATGAATCATTTCAGGTTAAAGTTTCATATTTTCAATTAGATTCCATCAATAGTTTCACAACAACTCTTATCAATTTATTCATAGCGAAAGGAAATAGAGCCTTTGTGACGTGGTTAAAGTTTTTGTCTTTAACCATAAGTGCAAGACTTTACAATCATGCATGATTTAACTGCCATTGATTTTAGTTGTTGGGCTTGAAGAGTCTATAGCTGCCATTCTATGAGTGAGTACCGACAACTACAATTCCTTTCAATTTTAAATTCTTAAACTGACTGTCAAATGTCAACCAGACTCAGAACAGTGCCCTTCTCAACCACTTTAAATAAGATGATTGAGGTATCTTTGTTACTATCACCTGCCTTGTGGCCTTATCCTTTTCAAATAGCTGTTGATAACCCCAAGTCCCAAACCCAAACCATATGCATATAGCATGTTGACTGAAGAGAGAAATGTGGAGTCCCCTTTCTAATGTTTCTTGCTCAAATGAGTATTCCAACCATAGTTGCAGTTGGCAAGCATATAATCATCAATGTGTGCCCTCCCCCCAGAGGCTGAGATGCTCATTTGGGCAACTAATGTTAAAAAGTGGGAGGTTTTTGTTACCACCAACTTTTTTCTTCTGTATTGCTTCTGGCTCAAATTTTTGTTGTGTTTCCTAATCTTCCATTTATATTAACTAGCATCATTCGATCCATTTATAAGGGGCATCATTGATTTGACATATTTAATTTTTTGTTAAATTTTGTGTAACTTCAATGTTGCTTACTGCTTATGTTTCTTTGTTTATTTTTTTGAACGGAAAGAGGAACATTGCAGGATAAAGAACAAAGGGAGGAAATATCTGATACAAGAGTTTTAATTTCACGCCCTTGAATGAGAGGACAACTAGATGTGCTTTGCCAAGGAAAATGGCAACGTTTCTTAGAGTTAGAGATTCCTCTAATGTTTGAAATCTTCTCTTCCCTTTTTTTTTTTTTATTGAAGTTGTCATACACAACTTGCATAACTAGTAACTTTTGTTAATCTTATAATATGGAAACGAGCTTTGCATTTAGACTCAAAAGAAAACTAGTTTTACTTCTTATTACTATTTGTTGGCGAATCATCAATAATTGTTCAAATCAACTGAAAATGTAAAGGTTAATGAGACCCTTAATTTTAAATGAAAAATCCGTGTTGAATTCTTCATGAAAGTTAAAATGCTAATTCGTTTTTGAGAGTCTATGGAGGCTATCCCTCAACCCCCCAAAATTATTTAAAACATGATAGTTATAATTATATTTTTTTGGTGTAATGTATTTCTAATAATCTTTGGTTTCCTCATATAAATTGTTTTTGTTTTCTTTGACATCCAAGAGAAATCCCGTAGCTCCTGTTATGTGTCATTCTCCTACTAGTGGGTTTGAGGTACAGTATAATTTTTTTTATTTTTCTTGGACTATTACATAGGATGTTTGGAACACTTGAGAAATGGGGGAGTAAAAAAGAGGAAAGGGAATGAGATAGGGATAGACCCATGACATTAAGTGCACCAGAAAAAAAAAAAAAAAAACTTTTCCATATGAGACAAAGATTGCTTGATGGGAATGCCTTTCAACAATGTGACAAAACCTTCTCCATCATGCTAAGGAAAGATTATTCCCTCGTCTATCCAACTAAAAGCAACATTTTCCTAGTTAACTTTTGTTACAGTCATCAGTTAGTGTATAATATACGTACATAGAACTTTGAGTTGAAGCGAACAACAAATTTTATAGTATGTTAGCATCTCTTAAAAAAAAAAAAAAACTCTATTTGATATTTCAAAGATTAAGATGTCATCACGTTGGTTCTCTAAAGGTTTTTATCACTCACATTAGTTCTCTAAATAATTTATCACCAAATTAAATTAGTCTCTGAAAAATATAAAATGTCATCATATTTGTCTATATAGAAAACTAAAGTGGTGAATTAAAATGATGAACTTGGTACTATTTTGCATATTTGAAGGACTAATTTATGATGTAAATCCTTAGATGACTAATAATGCGATAACACTTAGTATTTGAGGGACTAATTTGATGGAAAAAAAAGACTTTGAAGGACTATTGTGATAATACCTTAATTTTTGAAGGACTGAATTACTCTTTTATTTTTTATTTTATTTTTCATATTTTGTTATACTAATAAGATGAAATTAAGGGACAAGAGAGAGAGAGATTCAAAGGAAAAAGAGAAGATGCAATGTCCAATGTAACGAACTTAAGCAAGGATAAACAAAAAGCTCTCTCACCAAACAGATACCATTGAAGTAAGAACTCCCCGGATCACAAAGCAAAGCATCTTAAAGTTACTTCTTCATAGACAGCTTCCCTCAATTCAACACCATCCACCAACAGCACAGCCATGGAAAAAACTGCTGTTATATGCGTGGCTTCAATACTCAATGCAACTTTGCTGCTTCTTGCATTAACTCTTAACCAAGGTAAGCCTCCCATTTTGATTTTCACACTCTAGATCTTTACTACAACCAGCTCTATTGTTTATTCTCCTATTGCCTTCCGCCGGTATATATAAAGGCAAATGTACTTCTGCTGTCGTTGCATAAGAAAATTTTTGCAGCAACATATAAAAAGTCAGGATATATATGTGAATTCTGATTTTTATTTTAAATGCCAATACGGATTCTAGTATAAATGTGATTGTTACAAAATTTCTCATCTGCAGCGATAATAGAAGTGACGAACCCGTATATAAATGGCTAAACTATATAACAAAATTTTCTTGTTGCCATCTTTTATTATAGGAGTGCAAGGAATTGGTGTAAATTATGGCACGGTAGCAAACAACCTTCCCACACCAACTCAAGTTGCAAAATTTCTCTTACACTCAACCATAGTTAACCGGGTGAGAATCTTCGATGCCAACCCGGAAATTTTACATGCCTTTGCTAACACTGGGATAGAGATCACCATAAATGTCCCTAATGATCTAATCCCACACATGACTAATTTAAGCTTTGCTGAACAATGGGTCAAAACCAATGTCCAACCTTTCATCCCTGCCACAAACATTATCAGAATTTTAATAGGCAATGAAGTCTTATCCACTGCTAACAAGCTTCTAATCAGCAACCTTGTACCTGCCATGCAAACCCTTCACACAGCCCTTGTGGCAGCTTCATTAGACAATCGCATAAAAGTGTCAACACCACACTCTTTGGGCATTTTGTCAAACTCAAACCCACCATCTAGTGGCAAGTTTAGGCAAGGTTATGATACCCATGTACTCAAACCAATGCTTAGTTTTCTTAATGATTCCAATGCACCCTTTATGGTTAACCCATACCCTTTTTTTGGATGCTCTGCCAACACCCTAGATTATGCACTTTTCATGCCAAATTCAGGTGTGTTTGATGATAACACTAAGCTCCATTACACAAACATGTTAGATGCACAACTTGATGCTGTTTATTCAGCTTTGAAAGATTTGGGCTTTGAGGACATTGAGATTGTTATTGCCGAAACGGGCTGGCCTTCAGTTGGTGATCCGGCCCAAGTTGGTGTTGACCCAAAGAGTGCTTCTAACTATAATGGAAATCTCATTCGCCACGTCACTTCTGGGGCTGGAACACCTCTCATGCCAAACCGGACTTTTGATACTTACATTTTTGCTTTATTTGATGAAAATCTTAAGCCCGGTCCAATATGTGAGAGGAACTTTGGGCTATTCTGGCCCAATATGACTCCTGTGTATGACATCCCAATAATGAGGAACAACGTAGACGTTAAAAATCATTCTAAAGCATTTTTGTCAATCATGGTTGTCTTAAGCTTCATTGGCTCGTGGGCTTAAATTTTATAGGCTCATTTTCCATTTCCAACGGGCCGTTAATGAGGCCGATGAGTGAACCAGAAAGCCCAATACGATTATCATCATCGAAGAAGAAGCTGATGTGTCTGCCCAAAATTATGGGCTGACCCAGAAACATTGCCACGGAAACTATTGTCTATAATTGCTGGATGGGCTTGAATTGTGGGCCGATTAAAGAGAGAGGGGTTATGCATTGCACTTGATTCCATTGGATCCCATGCTCGTGATTCGTGAATGCTTACGACCAAACAAACGAAAGGAATGGTTATGATTGAGGCTTTGGACAAACTAGAGTTATCACCACCGTCTATCCAAGAGGATGTATTCCCAAAATACTAGTCTATTTTTGTCTCAGAATATGTTACATACTATTTTGTAAATGTGTTCTTATTTAAAGAATTTCATTTGTGAATGTTATACAATAGGCTACTATGGTGAGCCAATCAAGTTTAGCAATATCCAAATTGTTTAAATTGAGTTATTTTGGTCATTTATTTTCATTGACCTTTAATAATTGTATTAATTTAAAGCCTCACCATCAACGATAATTTAAAGGTATTATATTATGTTTTGGAAGGGCAGGAAATAAGAAGAAAGGAAGGGAAACAAAAAGACACTATAATATTGCAATTAATATATATATATGGCGTTGTATTTCTTATGCAGCTAGAGATCAGCACATTTTCCTGTAGGTAGAAACAAATTGGGTTTCATCAGTTTTTTTGAAAAAAAAAATAAGTTAGGCACGTTTTACGAACTGAGAGTGATAGGAGATAAGTATCTTTATGTAACAGAAGAATTAATTTTGTAATATATATATATATATGTATGTGTGTGTAAAATCATTTCTACAGTCGTTTTATGTACGGCAATGACAATTGACAAGTGTATGATTATGATTTTTCACATTTAATGGTTTCCGCTTTTGTATGGTTATAATTTTTCATATTTAATATTTTCACGTATATATATGACAAGTATTTGACTGCTGCACGTACAGCAACTGTAAAAATGTAAACTCATATATATATATATATATATATATATATATATATATATATATATATATATTTAACTTTTAAAGCTTGATTAACAGGTTAAACAAGAAACCATAATAAATTGATATTAGACACCAAACCTCAAACCATAACTTATTTTTATTTTTAATCAATCCATATGTTCATCACTAACACATGAATTTCAAGCACATCCCACTTCTCATTCCCGTATGTCCATCCCCTAGCCAACAAAAAAACAAATAATAAAAAGAATAAGAATAAGCATATAATTTTCAAATATCCAACCCATAACAAGCCAAGAGGAAGCTGAGTTAGATTACAGCTAAGCCTAACACCACCGCTCACATATTAATCACTCAATGATGCTATTCCTTTCTTGGGTCTACATATGCTCAAAATGTTCGCCATAATGTGTTTTTTATTCTGCTTGCTTGTTCATGCTTTAAAGTTTATCCTTGGAGGTTTATCGACCATCTTTTGTTTCTTCTACAATGTTCTTACCTTCTTGGGTGATAACTGTTTTTAAGATTATTTTCTTCAACGGGCATCTCATTTTTTAGTGCCTGAGCTCCTTTTTTAAATAATTATGTAGAATATTACAGAGTGTTTCAACACTACAAAAATATTTTTCCGTTGGAGACAGAATATAGTTGATTGAAAATGTTATCTAAATTATTAAACCATGACAGAACATATACATATTCTTCCTAATAATACTATTTAAAAAGTCTCTAAAATTAAATCGGCAGCATATATGCCCCTCTCTCTATTATTGATTTTTTTCATTTTGCAAATTGCCTTTTTTATATTAGGATAAATAAAAGTGGGCACATTATGGATGGTGTATGCTTTTATCACTTTATATAAGTCAGTTTAACTTATCATGTCAGTATGAACTAATAATTGTCGAGGAATTATTCAAGTGTGCAATGAAGTTCAGAAACATAACAAAGAGTATCACAACGCATCATCCTTCGGTAGAGAAAAAAAAAATGTTATCTGAACGAGACATACTTTCAAGATCAAGAGAATAAAATCCCCTAAACATTTATAGATTAAACTAGGGGTTGTTGATAATAAATAAACCCCATATGAATATACCTCAATTTCCCATTTTCCGATAATAAATATATTGCTTTTTTAAAGTGTAAAGCCCTTCATAGAAACTTAGCAATGCACAGACTTAGTTATTAAATTAAAGTACAAGTCAGACAATAATGCGTCTTCGTTCTTGCACTAATTCATTAGTCACTATCTCATAGGAAAATTCCTAGTTTAAACCATTGCTCTTAAGTCAAATTTTCCTTCTTTATAAAAGTAGACAACATATTAAACTTTCTCAATTGTCTTGTTCAAGGAACAAAGATGTTGCAGCCTTTCTCTTGTTGGAGAGTTGTATCATTGAAGAATATTAAGTTTTTTGTTCTTTCAGATAGACTAGAATATTCAGGTTCTTTAGTTCTTGTATTAACTAGCCACAAAGGGAAATTCCATCAACCAGAGGCTAAGTAAATATAAAAATTATATTAAAAAAATTACTTACAAAAAGTTACAAATTTACATATCATCCAAGAAGAAAATGACAATGCTATAAAATTAAATTAGAAAGGGTAAGAAGATCATAGTAACTCGACTAATCAAAAGTTATGTCAGCCTAAAATTGAGACCATATACCGAATATTTGTTAGCACTGCAACAGTTGCCATTGTCTCTTGCAATCAGCTAGACTTGTTTGTAGTTTTGGAGCAACATGCAGCCACAAAAGCACCAATGTAAGCAATAATGACCGTCCCAATCATGCTCATCACACTTCCAATCCTAGGCATTCGTGGCCCTACCATGAGATAGATGGAAAGATTGGCAGACAAAGAGATTTCAATTAGTTAGTCCACCCAAAAATAAGATCACAAACATCCCCACCATTTTCATCTGAGTAAACTTCAGCCACCAGCTCTTGATCTCTCTCTATATATATATATATCTCTTTCATTTTGGCAAACAAGATGCTTACAAAGGTCCCACAGTAGCTCAATTTATCAAGATTATTCATATGCCCTCTTCCAAGTCCTAATACATGTGTATGCATCTCTTTTAAGAGCCAAGAGATTCTTGTGTAAGAAAAAGGCAATTTAGACTGGGAAGGGGACCTTGATGATTGCCATCAGGATTACATTTGAACTACAACTTGTCATGAACCAATGAGTGTGATCTGAATCCCCTGAAACATAGAAGGGGACTCTCCAAAAGTCAAAGATTATGCAATTATCTAAACTGCATTCCCTTCTTGGGGTTTGACCTCAACCTGCTTGTTTGCTGATGCTGCCAAACTTTAACATTACTCTCAAGTCACAAAGAATATTAGCAGCATGTGATTTCCCAATGACAACATGCCCAAGCAAAGCAATGAATCATGATTCTATTATCCAATTTAGGAAAAGCCAATTCATTTTAAACTAGTACAGGTAACCCATAATTGTGGAACGATTTTATCCGCCCATCCCAGCCGGCAGTCACGATGACTAGACCCCATGCATGAGAACTGGATGTACTGTTGCAAGAAGATTTTAAGAACTTATATGCAGATTTGTGCACCACAGAAGTTTTAGCCTTGGGGCTTGAAATAGGAAGCTTCTCCTCGGGCCAAGTTGCAGATCCCTTGGAAAAAGACTCCAAAAAAAACTCTTCGCGTAGAGAAAAAGAATCAGGTGGATTGAGACATATAGCTTGAGTTGACCTCTTACATAAGACATCCAATTGTGCATTTTCAATATTTTGAGATTTCAAACCACACCAAGGTACCGCGACAGACGCATATGAAAAAAATCGCTCACTGGACCTAATCTTCTTAGCTTTCGTGGAGCTAGACTCATCCTCACTATAATTCCACAGATATACGTTAGAGTCCTCACAGGCTGATAAAATATGCTTTCCATCCGAAGTAAGAGATGCAGACATTAGGCTCCCTGCACTAAGGCCTGAAAACAAAATATAAAAATCCTTAGAAACAGAACATATAATGACCTAAAAATTCAACTTGGAGGTTAATGAACCCAGACATAAGAATAATAGCCAAGCTTTATAAACCTTGCAAGCTATAAATACAGACTTATAAGTTTGTCGACAAAAAGGACAAAAATTTAAATAAAAAATAATGATAAATAAGCTCCAAAATTAAAAAATGACTTTTCAATCCTTAAACAATGCTGATGACTGATGAGAACGGATAAAAATTCTTGAAAAATGTAGGAATGATACAAAGAAACATACTTTTGTATTTGCCAACCACATTAAGCCCTTCAAGGATTCTGACTTTTGAATCAGCACAGGTAACCATAACTTTGTTAAACTCTTGTGGAAGAAACTGAAATTAATAACATGTAATCAGTTAATTACAGAAAAAGGAACTTATATGGAATGTCACACAAACATAAAGGGAAAAAAGACCACAGGACTCACTTGGCACAAGAGGCGGAAGAAAAAACAATACCTGAAAGCCAGTTATTCCTCTGCAAGGAAGTTTCTTTTTACCAAGTAAGCATAGTTGGGAATTCAACTGCAAGTGATTCTCTGAATCAACCAAAAACGAAAATCAGCAGAGATAAGATCCTAGCCTTTAAACTCTGCCAAGTCTTGAAGTGGCTGTATGTAGAGCTATGACAGTCACATTATCACAATTATTGCTTGATTAGCATTTGAGGCATAAGGAGTCCTACTACTTCCTCATCTAATAGCCTAACATCCTGTCTATTACGTACTTATATTTGAAACACACAATAAATCAAATATTCACGAAGCAAATTGACTAGCCAATTAGCCACACGTGTCACCACCCGATCTATTTTAATTTCCACCCACTGCTTCTTTTTTTGGCTTGCTGTATCCAATTTGGAAAATCATCTTCTGTACTATGCAGGGTATGGGGACCAGGACTAGTATTTCAAATTTACTCACAGGTTTAAAGTTAAGTTTCTTCAAGTAGATGGGCACTTAAAAGCAAACCACCAATCTATCATTCACAGCATTAGTGCAAGGAAGCAACAGCTAGCATTGATCATCTAGTCTAATAAAAACCTCAATCTCAATAAGAGTTCTCATTTTATAAATTTGAAAAAAACAATTCAAGTGTCTATCCAAAGAAAACAACAATCACAATCACAATCACCATCATTTGAGTGCATGCAGTAAATGCATCTTCTCACGACGAAACAAATTTGGAAATCAAGTGCCTGTATAGATCCACTATGCCATATTATATCAATCACCAAAATGAAACAATAAAAATTCAAAATCCAAACCCTATACAATTATCATGAATCTTACAAATGATAGCTAACTGATGTAGCTAAAGGAAAATAAGGATATATATGTAGAAAAGATGATACCTGATACATCATAAAATCGGCAATTGCCTGTCATGGAGCCAATAATCCCTCCCTATATAAAGTAGATCATTCATTCACCTGAAATTAATTCCCATAAAATCTTCATTTCTATAGAAGGAAACTCTTAAGAAATTATACCTGTCCGTCAGGTCGATAACACACTGCAGTCACAATTTCTCTGATATCAGTCCAATCAACAACATGACATTCAGGAATAGCCCAGATGCGCACTTTTCCATCTATAGATCCGCTGATGAAATAATTATCATCCACAGGATTGAATTGTATGCAAGTCACTATAAGACATTATAAAATAAAATACAACTTGTGAGGAAAATCCAAATGATAAAACCAAATTAGGTTGCTGAAATAGAAAACTAGAGATAACAAGAATAGAAAGGAAGCAAGGCGCACCATAATTACTGTGTGAGAAAACTTTCAAACAATGGTCAAGTCCCACTTGCCATAGACGGACAGTTTTGTCAACTGAAGATGACAGTAGGCACTGCATAAAAAAATAAGATGAAGAACCAAATCAATTTCCCCAGCATTAAATCTATACATGAATGTATTTTTAGCTCAATAAATAACTGCATTTATGACATTCACTCACATTATTTTTTGACCAGGAGAGATCCAAAATTTCGCCACTATGCCCATGGAACTCATGCAACGGTTTCTCCAACAACCGGAAGACCTTGGGAGGGAAAATGATGCAAGCTGAAACTGATTTTTTTTTCAGACTCTTCACTTTGCTCATTTTCTCCTTATCAATAAACAGGGGTGTCAATTCAGAGAGATTATTCACCGTAAAGTAAATGCAGGACGGATCAACTTCTGGAATGTCAATTTCATTACATCTGTCATCCTCAACCACTTGCCACAATCGCACAATCCCATCTTCACCAGCACTGGCAAGATACTGGCCATCAGGACTGAATTTCATGGTCAAAATTGAACCTTCATGCGCTTGAATATCTTGCCCCTTGTAAAGGGCTGAAAGTTCCTTTGTTTGCTTCCTGCAAAGACGGACCTTAACTTTCTGAATCCTACACCCTGAGAATGCACACCTGCCCTCATGTCTCCTGTTATCAGATTCACCTTGCCTATGAATCATGCATGTTATTGAACGTAATCTTCTGATCCAACCATTTCTAGACCTCTTCATCCCCTGCTGAAAAACATTCGTCTCCTCAAACTTGTTACCCGTCGCACGCTGGGAAGTGGGAGACACCCCAAAGATGTTCTCAGAATCCTCAGATTCCTCGGTAATCACGAACTCATCTGAACCTGTGTCTCTACCATCAGTATTCTCCCTATGCAGCACCACCTGATCCTCATTACACCCCACTCTACTGTCCAAATTTCCATTTTGGCACGCCAACTTCTCCACCAAATCAAACTCTTCTGAAGAACTCATAGTAGACCAACAAGACATTGATGACCGACTCGAACAGAACTCCTCCTCAAAACCGGAACTTCTGGTCACACTTCCACTACTATCTTTCATACAATATATCTCCTCTTTCCTCTCAAGTCTACATACATCAACTGAATTCTCAAGGACATTTCTATCCGAATTCAATCCCATCCACTTTATAAACTTACTCCTACGCTCTTGAACACTACTCAGGTTCTGAATCCACATTTCATATCCAAAATCTTTCAACACCCCGTCCTTATGACTAGAATTAGCTTCAGGGGCCTCGGTGCTATCGGATTCTGCATCTGAGATTAACTCAATATCCTCTTGAGCATCAAAAAATGGACATTCTTCTTCTTTTTCACTTAAGCTACCCATTATTCTTGTTGTTCAACCCATGAAATCCCCCTCAGACAAGCAACATTTTAAGCCCGTGGAATGTAGCAAAATCCTTTTTTTTCGCCTTCCAGATAAAGCCAACCGGATAATAAACTATATATATACACACAAAAAGAAAAGCACTGAAAATCAATATTTATATCAGCCACTATGAACATTTTTTAAGAAAACAATGATAAAAATAAGAAGATAACAGAAACCGAGAGATTCATCATAGATCCCAATCCATGCCCATTGAACCTAGTCTTACAGAGTACGAGGATTTCACAATTTCAATTGAAAATCACACGTAGGAAATTAAAAAAATATAATGACAGAGAGAGAGAGAAACTCAAAAAAAAAAAAAAAATGAAGCCATGATTTTGCAAGACAAAATGGGATGAAAACCCATCAAGATTTTTTTAAGCAAAAATTAAAAAAGGGAAATATTAGGGTGATTACGATGAAAGAAATGAATAAGCAAATGAGGAAAATTGTACAAGGGGGAGTGTTTGTAGGAGGAGCTTAACAAAGAACATTTTTTGTTTATTGAAGGAAACAATGATATGCTTACATGGGTGTTTGTTTTATGTGAAGAAGATTATGTCTTGAAACTAAGGAGGCCGCAGATCGAAGCAGCATCCATGAAAGATTGGAGCATTCTTCTCTCTCTTTCTCTCTCTTTCTCACGAATAAGCACAATGCAATTACACTACATGGAGGATATAAAAAAAAAAAAAAAAATTAACAACCAAAACAAATATTGGTTTAAATATTTATTATTCTAAGTATATAAAAAAAAAAAAGTATTTCTTGAAGTGATCGGAAATAAAGTTATCTCTAATGAACTCAAAACGACATCGTTTTAGGTTATAAGATTAAAAATTATAATTTTTAAAAACTAATATAACCCTGTAATACATTAAATTACAAAAATATCTTGATTTCTGTCTCAAAATGATATAGTTTTAGGTTCACTGAAGATAACTTATCTTCCGGAGAAATTTTTTACCCAATAAAAAAAAGGTGTTTCGATTTTATTATGCAGTTAGAAATAGGTATTTCATGCTATATGTGTGGGGCTCATATTTATTAAAATAAAAAAAATATCATTGATAGGAGAGAGCAACTCGCTTAAAATTTGAGAAAATGTATTTCCATAAAAAAGAAAAAGAAAAATAGGAAATGAGTGTTTAATTGATAGGTTAATATTTCTAATATTGGGAATAAATTATCTAATATTATTTAGAAAAAAATTCTAATATTTATCAAAATAATATCATTTTAGGGTTAAAATATTAAAAATTTAGAATAATAAAGATTATATAACCCTATAATAAATTAAAATCACAAATATACCACGATTTCTGCCTCTAAACGACGTCGTTTAGATGAAATTAGATAAAAAAAAGTTCTAAAATAATATTAGAAAAAATGAACATTCATATATTACGGTAAATAAATTTATCTCCTATACATATATAAATATATGAATCCATATGGAGCCACTTGAGAAAAAAAGAGAAAAAAAAATGATCCTTACACACTTATATATATATATATATATATATATATATATATATATATATATATATATATATATATATCTATAGAGGTAGAATCCTTTGACACCGGTGTCAAATTTCAATTTTGACACCTCATCTCAGAGCTGTTAGATCAAAAAAGATCAATGGTGCCACATGCATGCAAATCAGAGTCATTGATTTTTTTTTATCTAACGATTCTGAGATGAGGTGTCAAAATTAAAATTTGACACTAATGTCAAAGGATCCTACCTCATATATATATATATATATATGAAATAAAATGATTAATAAATTAGAAAAGAAAAAAGAAGAAGAAGGGCAAAACAGTAAAAGAGAACATGTTCATCGACGTTCGTGAACGGATTACCCGAGATTTTGAGTGTGTAATGTATTATGAATATGCATAAAAAGAGCGGAGTATCTCTGCCAGTATCTAAGTTTGTTGTGTAATAATATATGCGTTGTATTTATTTCATTTAATATGAGATAAATTAAATTTTTATACACATATAATAAAGGTGGATCTCACTTCTATTTTTTTTTCTTTAATTATTTATGAGTCTTTCCTATAATTTTATTTCACTAGCATGAAATAACATATTTCTAACAGCATAAGAAAAATATTTCTCATAATATATATATATATATATGCAATCACCGAATACTAACCGGACATCTTATTATTAAATTTTGAATTGTAGATAAAATGTTTTTCATGTCATTCTAAACCGATGTTATTTTGAAATACGAGTGAAAAAATTGGGGCATTTTGATGCATTTTTTTATAATGTGAATTTTTTTTAAATACTTTTCAAATCCCAAAATGATATGGTATCCAAATTACAAGATATAACTTATACTTGTGACAAATAGAAATCCTAAATATATATATATATATATATATATATATAAGAAAAATAAAATTAAACACAGTTGTCAAATATCATTTAATAATATATTATTACATTATATAATGCATTTGACATCTTATATAGTTTTTTTTTTGGTAGACACATCTTATATAGTTTTTAATATAATCATGAGATGTTAATATAATATTAAATGATAATTGTACTGAATGCAATTTAGTGAATATTATTATAATATGCTTTTTGTACGATAAGATTATTATGTACCTACTAATTGATTAGCCATAGAAGAAGAAAAAAACTTCTAGCATCATAAATAATTCAGAAAAATTAAAAATATATGTTACTACTTTGGTATTTAAATTAAGAAAAAAAAATTAAAAGTTTTTAAATAAATAAATCTTGCAAATTTAAAATCATAATAATTAATATAAAATAAAGTAATTTTTTATTGAAGTATACTAAACTAAAAAGTTATAACAATTAACATGTGATGGCTCATTATTTAACTACTTATATGTGTTATCTATACCACCGTTCTGGTGTACAATAATTTTCGCAACTTCTGTATTCGCAACAATGCAACATCAAAGGTCAAATAGTAATTAAATCTTGGGATGCAAATGAATAAACAATAATTTGCAAGTCATAATGTTGGACACAATTTAATACAACGGATTCCGTTAGTGTTCTATGCGTAAAAGTTAAAAGTAAAATTAATCAATTATGAATGCTAAAATGAGAAGCACTTTAACTGAAATAGAAAAGCAGAAAACCAAAGCTGATATGTTGTAAGCTATATGTTGTAAACTGATACAGAAAAGGCCTTCATCATTATAAACCGTTTTTCTTCTACTATAAAATATGAGTTTTGCATTCATCATTTAACATGATACAAAAAAGTTTCCTACACATACAATATTTTGTGGGGCTCACACTTTTTGAAGCAAAAAAAAATTACAGCACGCAAAACGAATCTCTATAACATTACACAATCATTTTTCCTACAACACAACTCTTATAAAAGCCATAAAACATATAACAGAAGCAATTTGGGTAAAAAAAATCATTTTAATGCATATTTTTAAAACGATGAATGTTGTAAACTATATTCGGGCGGAGTTATTGTATATCGTCAATCTCTGTAGAGAAATTAGTCGGGACTTGAGAAACAGTGGTTTACTTTGCGGCAGGTGTTAGCATTCCGAATCCGCTTTTCTCCGACTCACGAACTTAGCACTATATGATAGTTCCTAATTTTTATGATTCAGCAGTTTGACAAGATATACTGAACTTCCAACAAACTAATAAATTTTATGGAATATCAAAAAATCCAGCGATTATATTATATTATTAATTAAACGTATGTATCTTGTTGTATATAATTTTATCGGTTAAAATATATATATTAATATTATATATATATATATATATGAGTTTAATGTTTCTTATGTTATAGAAGATAAAATTATCTCTTAAACATACATAAAAATATATAGGACTCATGTGAGGTTATATGAAGAAAAAAAAAAAGAAAAAAAAATGAGTCTCATACACTTTTATGTGTGTGTAGGAAATAAAATTATTTCCTACAACATATGAGATATTAAATTAAATCAAACATATATATATATATATATATATATATATATATATAATCGCTTCTTCATTTGCGAGGAGCCATATGAGTTGAAAATCTCACGTACGATTTTGTATTTTTAAATAATTTAACCTTCAAATATATTGTTAATGTAATGCAGTGGCCAGTGAGTCTCCTGCCTCATTTTATTCTTGCACATCCCAACAGGGCAATAGGCGGATCCAAAGGAGGTGTGAAGGTTGACAATTACCCCTCCCTAAATTTTTTTATTATTATTATAAGTAATCAGGTATTATTTTTGTAATAGTAATAAATTATTAGTTCTAATAGATAGTTTTCCCCGAAAAAGTAATTGTAATAATTAGTTCTTTTTATTAGTCCTAATAGTATTTTATTTTCGTCCCCTATCATAAAAAGTCATAGGTCCATCAATGTACGCCCCCTTGAGCAAGCACTATCACGTGTCGCATGCTGATAAAGTTGAAGGTTTATTTTGAACATAAATTAAGCACGGTTTAATTATATTTTTTTTCTGAACATGTGACGACTAGAAGTTCTACATGATTGACGTGCGGAATTAATTCGGCATGCGAGACCAAGTGTATTAGTTTGGTATATTATTTCGAAACTAGATTAATTAGGTGATTATTTTTTAATTAGCATTTAACAGTCAATCACCCCAATAATTTAATTGAAAACAAAGGAAAAACTCGTGACGATTTTTAGTAAACATTGGGTGTCAAAGATATGCACGTACGATATAATTTATAAGGGGTTTGTTTTTACGAGAACTTCGTCTTTTGGTAATTATCTAGAGTCATGTTTAACCTTGAATGCAAAAACCTTCCTACAGACACCTTTTTTAAAAAAAAATAGGTGAGTCTCACACTTGTTGTATTTATAATATGAGATTAAAAATTTTCTATAACATGAGATTTCTTTTTCCCAACTTATGATAAAGGAAATTTACAAATGTAATATACTAATATATATGTATAGGATTTATTGGTTTAGAGTTTCTACACGGGATAAAAAAATATTTTGTTCAACTCTAAAATAACGTCACTTTGGGAATATAGGGTATTTGGAAAAATTTAAGTTGCAAGAAAAAACAAAAATGCCAAAATGTTATATTCTTTTTCTCCAAACTCAAACTATTGTTTGTAATCCGATCGATTACATAAAATCTTTAATAAAGAAGGACATACTATTACTATACCTTTATCGCCTCTATGCAAGCTAAGGGAGGTAATGACGGGGAATCAATAATCAATGGGTTAGCCTAATGACTCGACACCATATTTCAATAAAAACTTTAAGATATTGAGTATAATAATATTTTCACTTATATATGTGATCTTCACTCTCACTCAAATGTGAAACCCCTTATTAGTATGCTCCCTTTCAACAGAAGCCATACTTACCTCTAGCAAAAAACTTGGCTAACTCGAGCAAAATCCTACTCTGATACAATTGTTAGACAAGCTAGGGAAACTCATGACAGGGTACCACCACCAATGAGATAAATTACACCAACCACAACAAATGAGTCTAACGTTACATTTAAATTCAAAATCTTAAGGCATTGGGTTGATAAATCCTCTCACTTATATAATCTTTATTTAACCCATTATTGATCAATAATGGGATATTTGGTATAAG